AAACTATACCCTCCCCTTCTAAGTTATTTCGTAGTGCAAGCCTAGCATTAGAAAAACAATGTTTTTCTAAATACAATGACATGAGTGAAAGAACCACCACTGATTTGTAAACAATACAAAATTTTAAAGCTATTTAAGAAGGCACAGACGAGATTCGAGCTCGTGATCTCTTGTTTACTAGACAGGCGCTTTAACCAACTAAGCCAAGGCGCCTGCGAACTAAGCATAATATAGTTAGAATCTGCTTAATTATAAATAAAGAGAATTGTCCGACAAATAAATCAAAGATGGTTGCTGAACTTTTCTAAAACTTGTATTGTCATAAACTATACACTCCTCCCTTCTAAGTTATTTCTGTAATGCAAGCCTAGCATTAGAAACAATGTTTTTCTAAATACAATGACATGAGTGAGAAGAACCCACCACTGATTTGTAACAATACAAAATTTAAAGCTATTTAAGAAGGCACCGACGAGATCGAACTCGTGATCTCCTGTTTACTAGAGCGGCGCTTTAACCAACTAAGCCACGGCGCCATCGAACTTTGTCATCATGTTTATGCGTCAGATAATCTGAAATAAAGAGAATTGCTCCGGAAAATATAATTCAAAAGAAATATTCGAATTTTTCTCAAAAATTGTCTTAGAAAAACTATCTTCTCCTTTCTAAGTTGTATCGTAGTGCAAGCCTAAGCATTAGAAACAATGTTCTTTCTGAATACAATGACATGAGTGCAACAGAACCACCACTGATTTAGTAATCAATACTAAAATTTAAAGCTATTTAAGAAGACACCGGGACGAGATTCGAACTCGTGATCTCCCTGTTTACTTCTGACAGCGCGCTTTAACCAACTGAAGCCACGGCGCCTGCGATCAACATGTCGATGTTGTGAGTCTGCTAATTATAAATAAAACGGAATTGCTCCAGAAATAATTCAAAAGATGGTTTCTGAAACTTTTTCAAAATTTGCAGTCATAAACTATACTCTCCTTCTAAGTTGTTTCGTATTCCACGCTTAGCATTAGGAACAATGTTTTTCTAAATTCAATGACATTAGTTAACGAACCACGACCGATTTGTATGAATACAAAGTTTAAAGTTCTTTACTAAGGCACCGACGAGATTCGAACTCGCGATCTCCTGTTTACTAGACAGGCGCTTTAACCAACTAAGCCACGGCGCCTGCGAACTACATACATGTTAGGAATCTGCTAATCATAAATAAAGAGAATTGCTCCGAAAATAAATCAAAAGATGGTTGCTGAACTTTTCTCAAAACTTGTATTGATAAACTATACCCTCCCTTCTAAGTTATTTCGTAGTGCAAGCCTAGCATTAGAAACAATGTTTTTCTAAATACAATGACATGAGTGAAAGAACCACCACTGATTTGTAACAATACAAAATTTAAAACTATTTAAGAAGGCACCGACGAGATTCGAACTCGTGATCTCCTGTTTACTAGACAGGCGCTTTAACCAACTAAGCCACGGCGCCTGCGAACTACATACATGTTAGGAATCTGCTAATCATAAATAAAGAGAATTGCTCGAAAATAAATCAAAAGATGGTTGCTGAACTTTTCTCAAATATATTGATAAACTATACCCCTCCCTTCTAAGTTTTTCGTAGTGCAAGCCGAGCATTAGAAACAATGTTTTCTAAATACAATGACATGAGTGAAAGAACCACCACTGATTTGTAACAATACAAAATTTAAAGCTATTTAAGAAGGCACCGACGAGATTCGAACTCGTGATCTCCTGTTTACTAGACAGGCGCTTTAACCAACTAAGCCACGGCGCCTGCGAACTACATACATGTTAGGAATCTGCTAATCATAAATAAAGAGAATTGCTCCGAAAATAAATCAAAAGATAGTTGCTGAACTTTTCTCAAAACTATACTCCCTCCCTTCTAAGTTATTTCGTAGTGCAAGCCTAGCATTAGAAACAATGTTTTTCTAAATACAATGACATGAGGTGAACGAACCACCTTGTTGTAACAATACAAAGATTTAAAGCTATTTAAGAGGCACCGACGAGATTCGAACTCGTGATCTTCTGTTTACTAGACAGGCGCTTTAACCAACTAAGCCACAGCGCCAACGAACTTTTTGTTCATGTTTTTGCGTCAGATAATCTGAAATAAATTGCTCTGAAAATATAATTCAAAAGAAATATTCGAATTTTCTCAAAAATTGCTTAGAAAAACTTATCTTCTCTTTTCTAAGTTGTATCGTGCACGATAAGTATTGGAAAAAGTGTTCTTTTGAATACAATGGTATTTGCAAACGAAACACCACTAATTTGTGTCAATACTAAAATTAAAGCTCTTTAAGGAAAGGATGAGATTCAAACTCATGATTTCCTGTGTACTTGACACGCGGTCTTAACCAACTAAGACACGGCTCCTGTGATCAACATGCATGTTGTGAGTCTGACTAATTATAAATAAAAACGAATTGCTCCAAAAATAATTCAAAGAGTGGTTTTAGAACTTTTTCGTAAAAATTGCATTCATAAAGTGTCCTCTCTCTTCTAAGTTTTTCGTACTGCACGCTTAGCATTCGGAAACAAAAGTTATTTCTAAATTCAAAGGCATTAGTTAACTTGAATCCACGACCGATTTGAATCAATACAAAAGTTTAACGTTCTTTACTAAGGCACCGACGAGATTCGAACTCGTGATCTCCTGTTTACTAGACAGGCGCTTTAACCAACTAAGCCACGGCGCCTGCGAACTACATACATGTTAGGAATCTGCTAATCATAAATAAAGAGAATTGCTCCGAAAATAAATCAAAAGATGGTTGCTGAACTTTTCTCAAAACTTGTATTGATAAACTATACCCTCTCTTCTAAGTTATTTCGTAGTGCAAGCCTAGCATTAGAAAACAATGTTTTTCTAAATGTACAATGACATGAGTGAAAGAACCACCACCGATTTGTAACAATACAAAAATTTAAAAGCTATTTAAGAAGGCACCGACGAGATTCGAACCGTGATCTCCTGCTTACCAGACAGGCGCGCTTTAACCAACTAAGCCACGGCGCCTGCGAACTACCTATATGTTAGGAATTCAATCATAAATAAAGAGAATTGCTCCGAAAATAAATCAAAAGAGGGTTGCTGAACTTTTCAAACAAAAAACTATACCCTCCCTTCTAAGTTATTTCGTAGACCAAGCCTAGCATTAGAAACAATGTTTTTCTAAATACAATGACATGAGTGAAAGAACCACCACTGATTTGTAAATAATACAAAATTTAAAGCTATTTAAGAAGGCACCGACGATATTCGAACTCGTGATCTCCTGTTTACTAGACAGGCGCTTTTAACCAACTAAGCCACGGCGCCTGCGAACTACATACATGTTAGGAATCTGCTAATCATAAATAAAGAGAATTGCTCCGAAAATAAATCAAAAAAAAAGATGGTTGCTGAACTTTTCTCAAAACTTGTATTGACTATACCCTCCCTTCTAAGTTATTTCGTAGTGCAAGCCTAGCATTAGAAACAATGTTTTTCTAAATACAATGACATGAGTGAACGAAACCACCACTGATTTGTAACAATACAAAAATTTAAAGCTATTTAAGACGGGCACGACGACGATTCGAACTAGTGATCTCCTGTTTACTAGACAGGCGTTTTAACCAACTAAGCCTCGGCGCCAACGAACTTTGTTCAAGTTTTGCGTCAGATAATCTGAAATAAAGAGAATTGCTCGGAAAATATAATTCTAAAAAAGAAATATTCCGAATTTTTCAAAATTGCTTAGAAAACTATCTCCTTTCTAAGTTGTATCGTATTGCACGGTAAGTATTGAAAAAGTGTTCTTTTGAATACAATGGTATTTGCAAACGAAACACCACTAATTTGTGTTAATACTAAAATTAAAAGCTCTTATAAGGAAAGGATGAGATTCAAACTCATGATTTCCAGTCTACTTGACAAGCGTCTTAACCAACTAAGACACGGCGCTCATGATCAACATGCATGTTGTGAGGCGGCTACCTATAAATAAAAAGAATTGCTCCAAAATAATTCAAAAGAGGGTTTTAGAACTTTTCTAAAATTGCATTGATAAAGTGTCCTCTCTCCTAAAATTTTAGGTACTGCAAGCTTAGCATCTGAAACAAAAGTTTTTTAAATTCAAAGGCATTAGTTAACGTATCACGACAGATTTCAATCAATACAAAATTTAACGTTCTTTACTAAGGCACCGACGAGATTCGTATCTCGATCTCCTGTTTACTACGACAGGCGCTTTAACCAACTAAGCCACGGCGCCTGCGAACTCACATACATGTTAGTGAACCTGCTAATCATAAATAAAGGAGAATTGTCCTGAAAATAAATCAAAAGATAGTTGCTGAACTTTTCTCAAAACCATACCCCTCCCTTCTAAGTTATTTCGTAGTGCAAGCCTAGCATTAGAAATCAATGTTTTTTCTAAATACAATGACATGAGTGAAAGAACCACCACTTGATTTATAAACAATACAAAAATTTTAAAGCTATTTAAGAAGGCACTGACGAG